ATTTGACACACAAAACCTGTGAAAACCACCCCCAATTCGAAGAAAACATTTCACCAAAGAAGAAATCTTGACTAAGCACCTTTTTCTTTGAAGAATCCTTACCTATTTTTGTGAAAAAGCTTGATTGAATGCCAAACCTTGTGATTGGACGAATTTCATATCTCTTCCTCTCCATTTCTCTATAAATACTGAACCAACTCAAGCTCAAAGGAAGGCCCCCCAGAGAGAGAAAGAGAGAGGGACAGAGAGAGAGAGAGAGCCAGAAAGGAGGATGGGGAAGAGAGAGGAGAGCTTTCTCCCATCCCATATACTGCCTTCTCTTCACTCGAAATTTAGAGGTACTTTGGACCTCAGATTCTAAACTCGCCTCCTCCATTTTCAAGCAAAAGTTATTGCAACCAGAAGTACTCCCTAGCTCAAGAACCCATTTAAACTTCATTCTATTCATCCCTAGTTGCTAGAAAACCCTTGACAAGATACATACAAAAGGTAAGTCTTTCTTTTAACTATTAAACATGATTTCGCAATCTCTATTTTTTTTTTTTTAGTTTTCTGGGTTGCTTGAAGTTCTAAAATGTTAGAAAACCAACGTTTGTAATTTCTTCTTGACTGAGAATAGAGGCAGAGAGACAAGTGTCTTAGGGAAATCAATACCTAAGACCCAATAACATCACCTCAAAATTGGTCTTAGGAGAAGTTGAAACCATGTTCCTCCATATTTAAGAAATTCCTACAACCATTCCTGTTTTTCTTCATTAGAAATCGAGCTTGAACAACTCCCGTATTGGGATGCTACAACAGCTTGGAAAGAGGGGTGTCTAATAACTTCCATCTCCCAATCCTTGGGACCCAAAATCTCTAGGTTCTGTGCCTTTTCCCATAGAGAACGAAGTCACTATCAAAGACAAGTCAATTTTTCGAATTTAAAAATGATGGCCCATTTCCTCTAAAAAAATGGGTGGTGACTCTTACTTTTTGAGCTGGCCACAAGCTTCCCAGAGCTCACACACAATGGGATGTGCCTGTAAGGTTGGTGTGAGGCGCCATTTGTGAGGAGCAGACCCGGTCTTAGATAATGCCACGTCAAATTTAATGTTATAAGGCAAAAGGATCCTTGCACCGACCTTACAACACATCCCACCGTGTATTGGGAACATCTCCCATGAATAATAAGATACAAGTCCAGAAGATGTTCGCCCTGTGTGCAACTAGACCTGTTCATGGGCCGGATAGCCCGACAGCCCGACCCGCACCCCGACAGGGCTTGGTCATATAATTAGGCCCGCGGGCCTGACCTCGGGCTTAACACAGTAAGCCCGACTGTGTTTCGGGCCGGGCTCGGGATTTGTCAAAAAAGCCCGGCCCGA